TTTGGGACTCAAGGGGGGGGGGGGATAGGGGAGAAACGCATAGGATGCAAAAATTAAGCCCGGTGGTGGGGTTGGGTGGGGGGTAGAATAGAAAGGAAGGATTGCCTTGCAAGTGCCCCAAGGAAAAGGGAATGCAATGCGTTTGCAACGAATGCACGTTTGGGGCTGGGTGAGAAACACACTTCGAAAGGGAAGCGGGTGGGTTGGTTGTGTGTGGGTGGGGGGGGGGGGTGTATAGCCGTCGGGGCTGCTGCAGGCGGGGAAAAATGTGGGTCGTCTCCAATGTCCCCTCTAAGCCGTGGAGTCTTGTGAGCAAGAATTCTACTTTGTGAGCTGCTGGCATGAAAGCTGTGAGCGGGTAATTTGGCGACTGCATCAATGAGTCTGCTCGGGAGCCCCGTCCTCCCTGAGCTAAGACAAAAATGTGTGAGCCGGAGGCTAAAAAACTGAGCTGGCTCACACTCACTCGGCTTAGAGGGAACGCTGGACTCGTCTCAGCAGCTCGGCGATTTATTCCCGACAGACCTCCAACTTAACGCTTACCCGGGAGGATCCAGGCACCGAGCCCGTTAACCATCTTGCTTTTTTTTGGGGGGGGGATTATAGAGACCCCTAGGGAATTCTTTGGGAGGGGGCCTTGGGGCCCCGCTAGCTAATTAAATGGAAGTACAGTGCAGGTGGTAAGTTGGAGCACGTTGGGGGCAGCCCTGGAGGGAGGGGGCCCAGAAGAAACCCAAGGGGTCCGGGCCCCATGGGCCCCATGTTAGCTACGGGCCAGCCGACCACCCTCCCTCGGGATGAGGCAGCCGTCTCATATGAACCGCCTCAGGGAGCAGTCGGTGGAGTGAGATCCTGGTTGACTACGATCTTACAGGGCCCGTGCTGGGGAAAGTTTAAAGCTGACACCCAGAAAACCTGGCTGCTTACCCCAGGGCCCTACCGGGGGAGCCCCACTCTCCCACTCCCACTCAGTGGACAATAATTTTTTTATTTTCATCAGGCTGCACCAACACAGGTTCGGACGTGAATACGGCTTTTAAGCGGTCAAATTCCTCCTGGCATTCGTTAGTCCACGCCAGTTTCAGCCCCAGGCTGGGTACTCTCGGGCCCCTTCCCTTTGGTCACACGACACTGGCAAGCCTAGGCAGCCGGAAAGCTGTTGGTGGGAGCCGTGGTGCCCATGGGCACTACCAGTGTTCCCTCTAAGCTGAGTTAGCATGCGCTAGCTCACAGTTTTTTAGCCTCCGGCTCACACATTTTTGTCTTAGCCCAGGAAGGACGACTCCAGAGCAAACTAATTGATGCAGCAGCCAAATCGCTCGCTCACAACTTTGATGCCAGTAGCTCAC